ACCTGCGTCTTTGCCTGCTCCTCCGAAAGTCGTGCGCACAAGAATTGAATGTCCTGTTGTTGGCGTTCCAGCGTCGCCTGAAACTGTTGCACGATCTGCTCCATTGTGTTGTACTCTACCTGAGTGTTGATTTCTACCTTGCTCTTGAACTCTGCGTTGGTGTTGAACTCTGCGTTGGTGTTGACCTCTACCTTACTCTTGAACTCTTGAACTCTGCGACGGATACATCCCAGACCTACCTGTCTCGTCCTGCCACCCCATGCTACTGATACACGGCTACGTGTCTACATGAGCACCCTGGTCAAATCCACCCGACTGGAACAACAACCAACATCCCGACAGCACACTTAGTAAGGTACCCCGCAAGGAAGCAAGCTCCCAACCTCAAGCACGCCCGCAGCAACATGACTACTTCAAGACTGCGGCCGACAAGCTGATAGGCCTACCACAGGCCCAAGAAATCACCGACATCCGTGGGTTCACGCATGAAGCCCACCGCATCCCGAACGAACCCATCAACACACAACCACCACCCGACTGGACGCCCACGCTATTCCCGCTAACCAGAGAACACTACCAGTCAGACTACGCTGCGCCCGACAACTCTACCAGTCTGGGTGGGCTTCTCTAACATTTCCTCACCTCACATCCACACCTTGTCCACCACTCCGCACTCACTGCCACCGTGGCAACAGAGCAGCACAGCTACTCGATTGGTCATCTACAACAGATGGCAGCAGCACGGTGCCCAACCATCTCGACCTCGACTCCTCACCCGATCGCGGCGCTCACAGCCCCACGGAAACAGCAGGTCTCGAACCGACGCAGCATTACCACTCGATCCACTCACAACAACACTCCCTCACCGAATTGAAGCTAGCCGCGGCATGGTAACACTGACTCGGAACAGGGCCGAAGGAACACCGCAACACCACAACTGCACCCACTTAGGTACGCCACAACTACGATGACTTCCAGACCCCCGCAGGTTGCACATGAAATGCCCCTTCACAACCTTCCCCTCGTTCACAGCCCACCATCTGGACCCAATCTTACTTGCCTCCCCTCACCCTCCCCTCGTGTCTTGAACCTTCCCTGCTTTTGTGGAACGGGTACGGGGCGGAGCTTGGGTGGGAAGGAAAGGAACGTAGAGGGCATCGTTGGCGCCGCGCTAGCACCTTCGCCAAAGCCTCACCCGCCCTCCTCGCCCCACGATCAATCTCAGCCTGCCGCCTCACCGTGGAACGAGGAGGTTGGACGTGGGTGGGGAACCGTGGGCGGGAAGGGATCAAGGGGCACGAGGCGCAGTGGCGCTGCGGCGATCGCGTGGTTCCTGGGTGAAAGCATGGTCACGTCGAAGCACCGAGGGAGCTTCATTCCCGACTTCATGGCCGACGGCAGCCCTCGAGGGAGCGCTGCGCGGGCCCAGAAGGCGAAGCCGAGGGGGGTGGGCACAGGAAACGAGGGGGGCGGGCACCGTGCTGGGGCCACCCCAGCCGCTGCACGGACCACGCCTGCTTGCTTCCCAGCTCCTCGCAGCTCCTTGACCCATCCTTTTCCGACGCCTTTTTTCGCGCACCGCCACGCTGAGTGTCCCACCCTTGCCGCCCTCGAGGGCGCTTCCCCCCTCCCCCTCCGCGCGCATTGGCTCCCCTGCTCTGTCCCGCTGCACTGCCGCCCGCCTCCCTCGCCCCGTCTGGACGGGCATGGGCGACTGTGGGCCCCTCTCCGAGGAGAGGAGGGACGCGCCAAGGAGGGCCCCTCCCTCTCCCTCGGGAGCGTGGGGCCCACACGCTCGGACCAACCACCGGCAGCGCTACTAGAGCTGCCAACCTCGAGGGCGCGGGAAGTGGACCCATTGCACTGCTCTCCTCTGGCTTGCCTCTCCTCGAGGGCACGAGGACACGAGGACCCTGGCTCTGTGCCTTTCCTCTGGCCCCTCTGGCTCTGCACCGTTCTCCTCTGTGCTCGAGGACACACTGCTTGGGACCGTGAACCCTGAGGGCCCTGGGGCCCGAGGCAGGGCCGGCGCAGGCTGCTCATCCAGTTTTGGGGGGGCAGCGGCGCTTCCCCTGGGCAACACCACTGCCTGGCTGGGCCCCTGCCGCGCATACCGGCGCGGGCATCAGCACATCCCTTCTCCTCCTCCTCCTCCCCCTCCTCCTCCTCCTCCTCCTCCTCCTCCTCCTCCTCCCCTCACAGCATCCCTGTCGGTTGACCGTTACCAGTTATTTTTCCCATTGAACTTCTTTGTTTTGATTCGATCACCCCTGGCGTTGGCTAGGGGCGGGGCCACCGAGGGCACACCTTTTTTGAACATGCCCGCTGTCAGCTGTTAGCTATCAGGGGGTGGGGTGAGTAGGGGAGGATCCGATCTGGAGACGGATGCGGGGGAGGGGAGGTGGAAGATGGCGAGGAAGAGGATGAGGCTAATGAGGAGAGGATGGTGAGGATGGGGAGGGGCAGACTCAATGACCCGCGAGTTTCTCCCCTAAAACTCGTTAGCACGACCTATCCTGGAGCTTGCTTTGACCAAGAATTTCCAGGCGGGCCCAACCGTAGCGACGACGGCCCCGCCCGCCAAAGGCCCAAACGACAACCAAACACGCCGCGCGTGTACGGACACCCACGTAGTTTCAGGCCCACACACACACGCACACGCACACGCACACGCACACACCATACACCACACAAACACTCACAGACACAACACACACACGCACACTCACGCACACACGCACGCACACATACAAGCACACGCACACGCAGACGCACAAGCACACACAAACATACGCACACATAAGCACGCACATGCACTTACACATGCACTTGTGTATGCACTTACACACGCACAGTGCACACGCACGCACGCATACGCACACACACACACGCACACGCACACACGCACACACACAGACACACACACACACATACACGCGCGCACACACACGCACACACAGTCACATACACGCACACACACATGCACACACACACACACGCACACACACGCACACACACACACACACACACGCACACACACATGTACACACACGCGCGCGCGGACACACACACACACACGCGCGCACACACGCACACAAGCACACACACACACACACGTAGACACTCACACACGCATACACGCACACACGCAAGCACGCACACACGCACACATGACCACAAACGCACAAACACGCACACACGCACACCCGAGCACACACACGCACATACAGACACACACACACACGCAAGCACACACATACACACACGCACGCACACACGCACACGTGTACACACACGCGCGCCCGCACGCGCACACGCACGAGCACATGCACGCACAAGAACGCTCACGCACGCACACGCGCACAAAAAAACATACATACGCAATCACACACACACACACGCACACACCCACACGTACACACACGCACACACGAACACACACACACACACACGCAGACATACACACACGCACGCACACACACAAACACACACAAACACACACAAACACATACATACACGCGCACACAAACACGCACACACAACACACACAACACAAACAACACACACAACATACTCACACACACACACCCGCACACACACCCGCACATACACGCACACACGACCACACCTACACACAAACACACACAAACACACACAAACATATTCACACTCAGACACACACAGACACACCCAAACACACACACACACACACACACACGCACATACACACGCACATACACACGCATACACACACGCAAACACACACCCACACACACACCCACACGAACACACAGAAACACACAACCGCACACAGACACACACACAGGCACACACTCACACGCAAACACACAGACATACAGACACACATACACATATACACAGACACACAGACACACAGACATACCGGCAATCCAGACACACCATAGACACACAGACACAGACACGCACACACACATACACCGCACACACACGCACAGGCACAGGCACAGGCGCACGGAAACACACACACACAAACACACAAACGCACGCACGCACGCACGCACAACATACACAATACACAACACACAACACACAATACACAACACACACAACAACACACAACCCAGAACACACAGACACACTACACACAACAACACACACAACACACAACGCACACCACGCACCACGCCAACGCACCACACACCACACGCCACACACCACACACCACACACACACACACGCAAAATGCCACACACGCGCACACGCACACGCTTTCACTTCCGCTTGTGAAGGACTACGTGCACGTGCACGCGCATATTACATACACATACGCACAGGCGTGGAGACGTACAAATGCGAGCACGTACACACTCGCGTACAGAATATGCACTTGCGCACAAACACGCATGCTCGCATACACATGTCTGCGCACGCGTATGTTTGTGAACATGACTGTGAACACCTCTGTGTAGAGGCCTACCACGCCATGTCCGTGTGTGGAACCACGCAGCACATACGGCACGGCACCACCCGATGATGCCCACGACCCCCAACGTGCGCAGAGTGGAACGCGCACATGATCGCCGTCCGCCTGCTCCCGGGACTCGCGCACCGATCGAGCCTCTCGCACGGTCGGGCAGAGCGAACGGCACCCCGGTCGAGGGAGAATGAACACTCGCCCTCCCGGGGTGCGGCGTCGTGTCGCAGCCACTGGCGCCGCGAGCCTCGGAGGAAGGCCACCCGAGACCACGGCGGCGCCCCCGCCTGGCCCCACTCCGCTCAAGTGTCTGTCCAGGGACCCTCCCGCGGTCCATCCTGGCGCGCTTCTCGAAGCGGCTCCCGCCGCGGCGCGGCGACGAGAAGCCTCCAGGAGAGGCCCAACAAGAAGGACGAGGAGCGCCACGGAGGCCTGCCACTGTCTCGACGGGCCCTCCTCCGAGGAGCCATGGGCATGCCCCTGGCCTCCTGCCGGCCGCGGCTGCTTGCCATCAAGGCCCCCCCCCCCAGCGGCAAGGCGCCACCGCCCAATGGCCGGGATGACGGGGAAGACCTCGCGCGTCGCGCTGCGCGGGCGCGGGGGGGATCCGAGAAACCCGCGCGGACCTCTCAACGCGCATGTTTCTGCAACTTGTCCTTCTTCGGGTGCTGCCTGCTCCCTCCCTCCCCTCCTGCCCCCCCTGGCCCCCTGTGTAGTCTCTCTCACCGCATTCTGCTCACATCCTCGGCCGCCTCCGACACCTGCTTCCTGCTGTGCAGGCCTGTGTGCTCTGGCACCCACGCGCAAGAGCTACATGCTCTGAACAGGCCCCGCAGCGCCCCTCGGCCGCCTCCGATCGCGGCGTGGCCCCGCTGCAGCCGGAAAGCCGTCCCTCGGCATTCCTCTCGTCGCTCCTCCGCACCTGACCGCCTCGTCCCCCCACGACTTGCCCACTGCCCGGCCCCCGCTCGAGGCTCGCGTGGCGCACGGCCGGTCGGATGTGCTCGCTTCCCCCGCGGCTTCCGGGCTGTGGCCTGGTGCGCTGGGCTCCAGATGGGTGCCTAGAAGCCCTGGCCTGGCAGCAAACTCCCAGATTTCCGATGCCAAAGCTTCTCGCCGTGCCTATCGCTCCCCCCCGGAAAAACATGGTAGCAAGTAGTGCTAAACGTGACCGCCATAGCGGTAGCACTCGAACTACTACCAACCAGCTGCTCTGCGGTTGACCGGGGGGGGTGTCCGTAGTTCCCAACCCTCCTGCGTTGGGTTCTCGTTTAGAACACATCACTGCTCGCGCATATCCTACCTTCCTCCCGCCTCCTCCATGCTACCTGTTGCCTCGTACCTTTTCTACTGGGGGGCTGCCACCTGCGGAACTGTCGTCACTTTCGTGGGGAGGTCCCGCGGAGTGGTGTCCGACGCACATCCAGACTAAACCTCGCGGCTCCAATGCGGGCTGCCCCCCGTAACTGTTGCCACGTTGGCGCGTTACTGGGAGGTCCCCCCACGTAGCTGTCGTAACAATCCTACCTTCCTCCCGCCTCCTCCATGCTACCTGTTGCCTCGTACCTTTTCTACTGGGGGGCTGCCACCTGCGGAACTGTCGTCACTTTCGTGGGGAGGTCCCGCGGAGTGGTGTCCGACGCACATCCAGACTAAACCTCGCGGCTCCAATGCGGGCTGCCCCCCGTAACTGTTGCCACGTTGGCGCGTTACTGGGAGGTCCCCCCACGTAGCTGTCGTAACATATTTCGTTCCCAAACTACCATCCGCACAAAGCGAGCCTTCTGCTATGGTCACTTGTTGCGCATGGGTTGGGACATTTTCGGGAAATTCTAATAAAACTGTGGCGTGAGCCTCTGTCTTGACGCTGCATCGCCCGTCTGTTCGCCAGAAGCTGTTACGGCCAGCGCGAGCCAGGGTTCTGCCTCCCCGTGCGCTGTGTCTGGAGGCGCGACTGTGGGCCCAGCCCCCCCTGGGCGCCGACAGACCCCTGCGGCCGATGCAGCACCTCCCGCGCGAAACCGCTGGCTCAAGATTCGCAACTTCACCGCGCCCTGGCGCCGGCGCCGGCTCAGGTGGCGAGTGCCGCGGCAAGGGTTGCGGGCTCGCCCGAGCGGGCCGCCTCGGCACCCAGCGCCGCGCGCAGCTGGCGCGCCGTGGCCGCGTGGAGGGCGACCAACAGCTCCGCGCCCCAGCGGCGCGCGAGGGCGCCGGCCGCAACGTCGGCCGTGGCGGCGTCGTCCTGGATTGTCCCTGGCCAGCAGCTGCGCGTGGTCCCGCGCGAGCAGCCGCAGGTGGCGGAAGGCCGATGGGCCGTGGCGGCCGACCGTTTCCAGCGCGAATGGCGCCATCCGCCGCGGCGCTCGCCCAGCTGATGGGTGCCGGGAATGCTTGTCGGCCTCGGCGCCCCTGCAGACGGTGCCGGCCCTCGCCGCGGCAGCCCGGAGCCCCTCGACGTCGCCGGGCACGCCGTAGCGCACTGACGTCGATGGAGATTCGTGGGCAACTGGCCTTTGGCTTTCCAAGTCGAGGATGGCCTCCTCGCGCTTCGCCGTCAGCGCAGTCCCGTAGCTGGCGCAGGCCGCCCACACACCTGCGCACGCGGGCACCGCGCCGCCTGCCTCCCAGCCCGCGCGGTGCCAGCGCCAGTCCGGCACCGACGTTTGCCGCGCGACGCGGTGGCCGCACTCGGCGTGGATCCACCCCCGCGCGGTCTCCTGGACGCGGCTGCGCGCCTTCAGCCCGCCTCCGCGCTGGCGTGGCGCGCCTTGGCGCAAAGCGGGACCCCGCAGCGCTGCCTGACCCGCTCCCCAGTGCCGACGCAGTTCTGGCAGGCGGCCCGAGCGGGCGCGGCGTCCTGGCCCAGCAGTCAGTGCGCTGTGGAGCGTGAGTCGCTCAATTGCTGCCCGCGCGCGCCGAGCGAGGCGGTCTGCCAGCCTGCCGCGTGTGGGCCGCCGCAGGAGCGAAGTGGGCTGGAACTTCTTCTGAAGCCCAGTTGCGAGCTCAGCCCAAGTGGGCAGCCTGTCTGGGCCGTCAGCGCTACAGCGGGGCGGCGGCGGCGGGGGCGTTGCAAATCCAGCGAGGCTGCTCCAACAGGCGGCGGCGAACGGCTGCGGACTCGCGTCCAACTCGCCCAGGGAGGCCAACCCCGTCCGCCCCCGCACAGCGGCCAAGCTCTGCGCCCAGGAAGCTGCCCGCGCCGCTGGGGCCAGCTCCTCGTGGCGGCGGAGGCCGCAACCGCCCAGGCGCAGCGGGAACTGGCAACGTTGCTGCTGCTGCTGCCGCTGCGGCGTCGGCGGGTCCAAGTGCTCGTGCTCCTCGTAGAGGGCGGCGTCGTGGGTCGTCGCGGCGGGCCTCGCCTGCTCGGGAGGCGTCTTGCGCAGCGTGCAGCTTGCCGGTCCCGCAGTGCCGCAAGAGCAGGGCAGCCGTCTGCTCCGCAAGCAGGTGCGGGGAGGCCAGCGAGGGCAGCTCGGCCACCTTCGAGAGCAGTCCGTCCTCGGCGCATTCCGTCGCGTAGCCGACCGCGCCCAGATCCGCTCGGCGCCCCTCGTCTGGGCGCGGGAGCCCCCGCGGCTGCGGCTGCGCAGGGAGCGGGGCCCCGACAAGCGTCAGGCCGCGAATTTGCCAGTGCGGCTCCAAGCCGGGTGGGCACGTGGTCCACGGTGACCACGCCTGTTGTTTGCCCGGTTGTAGCTCCAATCCCAGCGGGGCAAGCGCAGCCTGCGTCGCCGGTAGCACCTCCGCGGCGAGCTCCGGCGGCGCGACAACCACCAAGCCCTCCCCCCTTTCCTCCCTCCCCCTCCCCTCCTCTCTTCTGCGCCCTCGCTCCATCCCTGTTCGCTATGCACAAATAGCTCTTCCGTGTTGCACCCCGAAACGGGTCGGAAGGGCGGGCTGGGCGTTTCGCCAGAGATTTCCTCATCAGTTATGATCCTGAAGCTTTGGATGTTAAAATTGGCAGGAGCTTCGCGGATGGAGGGCGGGCCGTTTTCAAAATGTGGTTCTCGCGCCGCGCGCATTCGTCGTAAGAAACCAACAGGGATTTCACGGATAGAGAGCGGATCGTTTTCACTATTACACCAGCGAAGCCCTCAAGCAGTGGATGGGCTGATCTGTGTAGTTATGTAAATGAATATATGTATATGTGTACATGTTCATGTATATATTTGTATTATATATATATATGTCCCAGTGCTGTGCGCACATATTGATGTGTATGCACATGTTTCACTATACATTTCCAATCCGTATCTCTCTCTCGCCTTCTCTGTGGTATGTGTGCATATATATATATACACACGCACCTATGGCGAATCCCGGCACCAAGAACCCGAATTCGGAAACCCAACCGCCTACCGAAACCGATCCAAAACCCGGAAACGGGAACCTAGGACCCAACCGCCCGCCGTGACCAATCCGGAACTTGGAAACGGGAACATGGAACCCTGAACTGGGAACCTGGGAACCCAGCCGCCTACCGAAATCGGCGGCGCATTTTCGTCAAATCTTTTAATATCCGCTAGGGCCCCTTCAGTGCAAGCGCTGATTGGGGAATGTGGTTCTCGCATTAGCTTCGCGCGCGTTCGTCGTGCCAGGTGCACATTATGCGACTTCAAGTATAGCGCTTCCCCCGGGGCTCGCACCTTCTTCTTCGTAAGGGAAAATATTGGTCCTCAGACTTCGCCCCTGGCCCCCAATAACGACGACCACAACAACAAGACAACGCAGCAACCCCTTACCCGGCCCCGTGCCAGATGTGCATGCGCTCACTGAGTGCAGACCCCCAGCCTGGCCCCGGGGGGGGGGCCCGGTCGCTGCGGGGAGACGCCCATGCACCAACCCTTTACCCGGCCCCGGCGGGCATGCACTCGCGGGCGCTGCATCGGGAGCTGCAGCGGGAACCGTCGCAGGGAGGTGCACTGGGAGGCAAAAGCGGGAGCTGTAGCCGGAACTGTTCCGGGGGCGGCAGCGGGAGCTGCGACGGCAGCTGTTGCGGGAGCGGCGATGGGCCAGGAGCTGGCGCGGGAGTGGCAACGGGGCACGCTTTGGGACCTCGAAGGCGAAGACTGCCCCGAGCAAAATGAAATAAAAGAAGGCAGGGGGCGAAGGAGGAAGAGGGGGGGGGAGGAAGAGGGGGGGGGAGGATGAGGAGGAGGAGGAGGACGAGGATGAGGAGGAGGAGGAGGAGGAGGAGGAGGAGGAGGAGGAGGAGGAGGACAAGGAGGAGGAGGAGGAGGAGGAGGAGGAGGAGGAGGAGGTCGCCCTGTCTCTGGCCGCGCACGCGGCTGGCTGCGGAGCCCCGGCTGCCGCCGTGGCGCGGCCAGTTCGGGCGGCAGCGTATTCGGGGCATCCCCGGGGCGCAGCCCGTGCTCCTCCATTGCCTGGGGCGCCCCGGGCCACTTCAGGCGCATGCAATTCCGCAGCACCCACGTGAAACAGCTGGGATCCTTCTCCTGGGCCTCCAGCGTGGTGAGGCCGTTATACCGACCGACAAGGAACCTCCACGCCTCGTCGCCGCGCGCCCCTGCCCTCCTCGGAGCCAGACGCGCCGAGTGGGCCCTGAGCTCGTCCACGGAAATCTCCCGCATGTCGTGGCCATTTATGCGTGCTCTTGTGATGCGGCCCGTCTGCGCGCGCGCGACCGCAGCTCGCGTGCGCGCAGAACTTCGCTCGCGACAAGTTCGCCTCCCGCTTCTCTTGCGCGGTCGCAAACCTCCAGAGTGGATCGGGCGCTTTGGTCCGCCTCCTCTATGGACGTCCGAAATGGGTGCGGAATGATGGGTATAATGCCCAACAACAAACGTTGTCCAAAACCAACAGAGCCGCTGTTGGACAGGCGGCCTTCTGTTTCGAATGGACACCGTCCGCGGCAACACCGACAGCGAATCCTGTTCAAAATGAAAAAGATCTGCCGTTAGGCATCGTGCCCAATCTTTCCGTACCTATTTCGTTCGTGCCGACCTTTTGCCGCGCGCAGCCGGCTCCTCCGCGGCGCAGGCCGCGGCGCCAGCCGCCGCCGCCACGGCGCCTGCTGCCGCGGCGGCCTGGGCGATTCGTTTTTCGGTGCCGCGCCACCTGCGCCCGACACCTGGGCCTGCCACTGGGCGCCGTCCCCGAAGAGGCTGTTCACGGGCGCCGTCGTGCTGGTCACGGTGCTGCTGGTTACGGTGCTGCTGCTGAAGTCTCGTGGTGCACTCAGTGCTGCCGCGAGTCACCAGCCACGTGACGATGGAGAAAACATGGGGAAACCTCATGACACACATATGTTGTGGACCTGTTATGTAATGTGCTGTTTGGGATCGCTTGTGCAAATGAGCCAGAACGGCTGGTTGCGGACGGGGGGGGAGACGGAGAAATTCCGCCAGCCTTCTGGGCGACAGGTGGTCCACGGATGTCTGCTTTCCTGGGCCACAACTCTTCTTCCCTTCGGGGAAGGGCACGCGCCGGCGTCCAAAATAGCCAAAGCTAAACCCCAGAGAGCCTCCGACGCTCCAAATTGCATCCCAACGTTGCTCAAATTGGCCGAAGATCTTTCAAGACAGTTTCCGACGTGCCTCCATGAGGCCCCAAGAAACTTCCCAGGCTACCCAGAACCCCCAAAGGAAGCCCCCAAAGCGCTCTTCCCTTCGGGGAGGGGGGCCCCTCCCCCCCTCCTCCCTGAGGTTTTTTTTGGGCGGGCCTCAAGAGGGCCTCAAGGGGGCCTCCGATGCTTCAAGATGGCCCGCAAGATGGCTCAAAATAGCCGAAGATGGCTCAATGTAGCTTCCGACATGCCTCCAGGAGGCCCCGACAGGGCCGGATGACAGCTGCAGGTGCTCACTCTTCCACCTTTGAAAGATCCACGAGAGGTGTTGCCGGAGCCATACACCAAATTGTTGCAAGCTGCGGTTGCAAACGGAATTGTCGTGGCCGCACCAGAAGTGCCAACCCCTTCCCCAGCCTCGTGGGGGGGTGACTTTGGTAGCGCCGCCACCACAATGCTGGAATGCTGCGGGCGCCCACCGTGTGCCAACCCCTTCCTCGGCCCCGTGGGGGAGAGCGTTGAGCCGTAGCCCTAGGGACACCCACCCGGCCCCGTGGGGGCCGTCCGCGATCGCCGAATCATGCTAACCGTTCAGGGGGCTCAACTTGGATTCTGGTACAGAACACGACTTCAACAACCAATGGGTGCCGGGTTGAGGGTTGCGAACAACAGCAATAACAACAACAACTGCCACAGGCAGATAAAGGCAAATACTTCTCGGGCAAAGCCCTCCAAACGCGACCCGAGCCCTGGACCCCATCTCTCCGCGGCGATCCGCGAGCGCGAAGGGGGGCCCGACTCGGCCCGACTCACACAAATGAATACGCACACAGGTCCCAGGCTTCCCCACATCTCCTTACATCTTTTCTGGATTCTCGTCCTCCCCCCCACCTCCCGTGTTTTCCAACCTCTTTTTCCTGGGGATCGACTATTCACTTTGTCTGTCTGTGCTTTCTTCCTTCCCCCGAGCGCGGGGCGTCGACGCCCCGGGGCCCCCCCGGGGCCCGAGGCCCGGCGAGAGATGCCGCCCGGCGCGAAACCACGCAGCCATGGCGACGACGAGCCCCGACCCTCGACGCCGCGATTCTTTTTGTTTTTGTTTTTGTTTTCCGGACGTCGACCTCCAGAGTCAGGTCGGGCGTGCCCCCCTACATGAGGGATGCAAGAAACGGCCCTACCCTGGGTCACACGTGCGTGGTCTGTAAACCTCCTGGGAACGTCCAAAGCCTAGAGAGCCGCCAGGACGCCGCACATCACGCAGGGTTTACCCTGTTAGCCCACAGGAGGTTCAGCGCACAGCGCCTCGTAAACCAGAGTAGGGGCCTTTTTTTGCGCCCTTGACTACAGGCGGATATTGGACGAAAAATACGAGTAGTCAAAACATGCGCGCAAATTATCAGACAATCGTCAAAACATCGTCTCTCCAGAATAGTCAAACAATCGTCTCCAGCCTATGTGCTCTACAATATTTGCATCTTCCTCCTGTAGAGGGACACGCCCGACTTGACTCCAGAAGTCTCGACCCGTCTCCTGGGACTGGCCCTTTGCCGCCCCGACGCGCCCTCGCACGGCCCCGGGGCCTGGCCAGGGGGCCCCCCCGGAGGAGGGCGACAGCAGCGAGGAACCTCCCGACGTGACCGCTTCAGGGCTCGAGGCGGCCTGGGATGGACGAGCGCGTCCCACTACTCGCAGAATCGCTACTCGCAAATGGCTTGGATCCGCCGCGAGGAATCCGCGCTCGGTGAGGGGAGATCTCCACGGCAGACGGCCTGGGACGCGGCCGCGCGCCGGCCGGCCGGCCGGCCAACCGAAGAAGGGGGGGGGGGTCGGGCCAGGAGCGCCGAGCCCGCGCAGATGACCGGCAGGAAGCTGGCTTGCCTCCCCGGCGGGCCCAGCGGCCGTCGGCCCCTCGCGCCTCCGCCCCTCGTCCTCAGGGCAGGGCTGGGCCGTGGCGTTGGTGTTCGCTCTGTTCTCGTTGTGCTTTTCGTCTTGCGCGGCCTGCTTTCTTGTACTTCTCTGCCAGCACGAAGCGAACAGCCCAGCCGGAATCCGGCAGAGCAGCGTCTAGGTCCAGCCCTGCCTCAGGGGAAGCTCCTCCCAAGGGGTGCCACCAGGCGTGTCCCATGCGATACGGGGGCTACGCCCCCTGGGGCACCGTGGTCCGCATCCCCACGGCTTGAGAAAGGCACCTTGGTCCCTTCTCGCCTCCATCCCTTCTCCTGTCCCAGACCCCCGACGCCATGATTTGCTCGTACCGTCGACCAAGAAATCTCGACCCATTCCCTGGGGCCGTTTATTCATCCCAAATAGTTTTTCGACGGCCCCGGGGCCCGGGAAGGGCCCCGGGAACCGAAAACGATGAAACTGCTCAGTGCCGTTTTTTCTCGAGACGCCAGATGTCTGAGCCTCTCGCCTCCATCCCTCTTCCTTATGGACAGCTCACTGTGGTGCCACCAGACGTGTCCCATGTGACATCCCCGCTGCTGGCCCCCAGAAGGCAGTGAGCAAGAGGAGTACTAGGGGGAGGAAGATACGAAGGCTGCGACCCCCTTGGCACCTGTGGTCCGCATCTTGGGGGCTCGACAGAGGAGGGGGAAAATGACAAGGAGGAGGAGGAGGACGGGGAGGAGGAAGAGGAGGAGGAGGAGACGAGGAGGAGGAGGAGGAGGACGAGGACGAGGAGGAGGAGGAGGAGGAGGAGGGGGAGGGGGGAGGAGCAGAAGGAGGAGCAGGAGGTGCAGGAGGAGGAGGAGAAGGAGGAGGACACAGAGTAGTAGTAGTAGTAGTAGTAGTAGTAGTAGTAGTAGTAGTAGTAGTAGTAGTCGTAGTCGTAGTCGAGTAGTCGTAGTCGTAGTCGTAGTCCGTAGTCGTAGTCGTAGTCGTAGTCGTAGCGTTAGTCGTAGTCGTAGTCGTAGTAGTAGTAAAGTTAGTGGTAAAAGTAGTATTAGTATAGTATTGTGGGGAGGTAAGTTATATTTAATGGGTGTAGTTTGTAGTCAGTAGTAGTGTGTGTAGTAGTAAGATCAGTAGTAGTAAGTAGTAAGTAGTAGTGTCCGTAGTCGTAGTAGTAGTTAGTAGTAGTAGTAAGTAAAAGTAGTAAGTATTTAGTAAGTAGTAGTCGTACTAAGTAGTAAGAAACAATTGATCATAGTAGTAGTAGTAGTAGTAGTAGTAGTCGTAGTAGTAGTAGTAGTAGTAGTAGTAGTAGTAGTCGTAGTAGTAGTAGTAGTAGTAGTAGTATAAAGTATAGTATAGTATAGTATAGTAAAGTCTAGTATAGTATAGTATAGTATAGTATAGTATAGTATAGTACAGTAGTAGTAGTAGTAGTAGTAGTAGTAGTAGTAGTAGTAGTAGTAGTAGTAGTAAA